TTCATGTTTCTGAAGAAGGGTCTAGGCCCGAAACGTCAGCCTTCCTGCTCTTCTGATGCTGCTTGACCTGCTGTGTTCATCCAGCTCTACACCTTGTTATTCATTGAGTACTCCCTTGTTTGAAAAGTTTCAGCTTTTGGAGTCTGAAATATTATAAAAATATTTAACTAGCAAGCTGTGAAATTCTGTTGAACCATTTCTGTACACAAGACAAGGCACAAAGTAACTGACATTAGGGAAGTATTAAGTGAAGTACTTCTGTCTTGTGAGTCAGACAGATTGCAAATCTACTTGAACAGGGAGCTGTTTGATTTTTAAACGGTCAAATTCAAAAAGCAGGTCCTGATTTAAAAGTCATGTGACTGGTGCTGGTTGGCAGGGTGGATGCGCACTTTTCAAAACTTTGAGGATTTATACAGTGGTTGGGGTAGATGGACCCGAAAGTGATTCAAGGAGCAAATTTCTTTGGAATTGCTCAGTGCTATTAAATACCAACAACAACCAGCCTGCGATTTTCTGGTCTTTAATTTTAAATTAATAATAAAGAAAAACTTAAACAGAGCTGATTACTGTAGTACTTCAGAACCTCACAAGTGTCACATTCATGGGTCTGGTGAAAACTGGCATTCAGACCAACTTTGAAAGAAACACAAGTATTGCTGAGCAGTCTGAAGTACATTAGATAACTTCAGGATAATAGTGTCTTTGTGAGCTAGGCAAAAGAATTGTGCTATGTTGATGGACGTGATATATTATTCTTCTATGAGTAAGAGATCTTTTAATATCGCAGGCCAAATGGGAGACCTGCAATTGCTGAGGATTTACTCTTTTAAGCCTGCATTTTTATAGAAGAAAGGTTTTAGGTTACTTTTCTCTCATTTCCAATCTTTGCTAAGTTAACAGACGTCAGCTTTCAGTTATCAGAATGAATGAGAGGTCATAATTTTTGGCTCAGGAGTGGCAAATTTAAAATGGGAGCTGAGAAAGAATTATTTTTCTCAAAGGGTTGTGAATCTGTGGAATTCACTACCCAGACTGCATTGAACACTGGGGCATTGAGTAAATTTAAGAAGGAGATAGACAGATTTTTAATTAGTAATGAGGTTAAAGGAAATGAGCAGGGAAATGGAGTTGAGGCAATTGTTCCTGCTGGTATGACTGATGCTATAATAAAGTTCCATTCCAACTGGTCACACTTTAGTTCCAGCTTCTCCCTTCCACAAACCTCTAACTACCATGAGATCACATTGAGAAATTTGTTCATTCCTTCCCCACCTTACAAGTTCCTATTCTCCGACTCATTCAAATCTCACAACTCAATGATTTGACAGGGAGGAGGTGAATTTGTTCTCAAGACAACTGCCAATTCTGTCAACTGGTACATAAATTGATAAATATCTACTTTCCCTTCTCTCTAGATAAGCCAGCTGCTATTGGAGAATTGGGAGACTGGGGAACTTGCTGAGGATAAATGATACCACCAGGCCACAAGTCACTGAAGGGGCATTTCTGAAAGGTTTTACAACAGATTGCATCATAGATGCACGCAGGAGTCTTTTACATGTAAAATCAAAGTGACAAAATTTCACGGATAAGAATGAATACATAACCTTTGTGCTCTTCAAATGTGTAGTGCACACTGGAACCCATTATTCAGTAACCCTGTTTATTCTCTATTGTGAGCAACATCATGTTTTATTTGATCTGCTTTGCTCTCGAAGCTCACTATCTCAGCTTGCGGCACAACATTCACTTCCTCCTCTGATACAAAGTTCTGCAAATGATTTGATTCAAGCTAAAAATTGGTCATCTCTTGCCATACAGCTGGGAAATCCCACACCAAAAGATTCAGCTCTTCTATGTAACGTCAGCAATTGGTAAGCTTCCAAAGACCATATTAAGTGAAAAAGATTTATATTCATTCAGAAAGGCATACATTACAAAGGACAGTCAACATGTATCTGTAAAAGGCATGTTGCTGCAGATAGATTTACTTGAATTCTTTAAGGGAAGAACTGCCAATTTAGAGTCACAGAGGTATGCAGCATGGAAACAGACCTTTCAGTCCAACTCATTCACACTGTCCCATTTGCCTGCAATTGGTACCACATCCCTTTAAACATTTCCTCTTCATGTACCTGTCCAAATGTCTTTTAAATGTTGTAATTGTACCAGCCTCCACCACTTCCTCTGGCAGCTCATTCCATACAAGCACCACCCTCTGCATGAAATCTTCCCCCTCTCATTTTTAAGCAGAGAAGGATGGA